GGCAAACCTCGCCGGGACAACCATAGCAGCAGCGGCAGCGTCACCGCAGTGGCGGCGGCCCCACCTCCGCGGCCTCACCTGGCCTCACTGCTTTGTGCCTTAGCCCGGGGATGGGGGTGGGTTGGGGGAAGGGAGATTTATATTTTTGATATCAGCTTTGACCAAAGGAGACCCCCGGCCCTTCTCCGCCTCTTCCTGTGGTTCGTTGGCCCCCTCCCCCGGCTCCGTGCTGCTCTTGGGGGTAGGGGTGTCACTGTTGGGGCGCTCCCAGCCCTACCTCCGGCCCTTGCGACCACACCCATTCTCACTGTGAATCTCCCCGCTGGGGTCGGAGCGTCGGGCAGGGTTAGGGAGCTGGGAGGGGACTGAGCCGGCCGGAGGGCCCCCTGCCCCCCGCTCCCGCCCGCCCCGGGACTGATAATGTGAAGTTCCTCATTTTGCACAAGCGGCACTATCCCCAGGGCCAACCCTTCCCTCCCTCTGAAGTCAGAGGGCTGAGACAGCCCGGTCTACCCGGTCTCCCACTCCTGCGGTGTCCTCTCCCCCTTCCCCGAGGCCCCGGACCATATTTATTGCATGCGCCCCGGGCAGCCCCATCCCCGAGCCCAGGCAGGGCTGGGCTGGAAGGTGGTCTCTTTAGCTCCCTCCTCCTCTTTTGTATATTTTCTACCTTGTACACAGGCTCTTCCAGAGCCGCTTCCATTTTCTATACTCGAACCAGAAAGCAATAAAGCAGTAACCAAGGACCCTGGACCCTGCAGCTCTCTTCTGCCTTGCACTAGGACCTGGTGCCAGCACCAGGGGGGGTGGAGGGACCAGACATAGGGGCAGAGCCTTGGACCTTCCTCCCTCCCCAGTCCCAGAGACAGATCAGCAAGAGGTCAGGTATATCTCATAACTAAAAATTTATTAAGGAAACAAAACCAGTGCTGCAAATAGGACAGAAAGGAGAGCTGGGTCTCCCACCCACCCAGTCATTAGCCTTCATCCAGGGCAGAGGATCTCAAAGGAGGCTGGGGACATTGTACCCAAAGAGCCCGGTTTCCTGAGGCCCTGGGAAATTTATACCCCCAAACCACTGGCTGTGGCTCCCCTGTACAGTCCGTCCTCCTTCTGGCATACTCTCGGGCCTCGGGAGGGCACAGCCAAGCTCCCATCCTCTGGGCAGGCTACATATAGTTAGGGGTTCTAAGGGATACCCCCACTGGTCCCATCAAAACTTAATCCTGGCTTCTCGTCAAAACCCTGTCTTCCCCGCACCCCTGTTGCTGGGTTGAGAGAATGAATCCCCAGTGCAGTAGGAAGCCTCCTGAGTGAGGCTTTGAACACAGGTGCCAACTAAAGAGGCAACAAAAAACTCAAAGGCCCTGTGTCAAGCTCTTCTAGGGAAAGCTAGAAATAGGGTGCAAACTCCAGGCTAGGCAATGCTCTCTCCCAGGCACGAGCCTGGAAGATTCTTGTAGCACAGGGGCCTGGGAAAGAAGGTTGGGGGAGGGGGAGCTTAATTAGGTTCCTGGTACAGGTACTGGAGGAAGAGGGAGATTCAGAGTGAGAACACCCATGGCAAGGAACTGAGGTGAGATTGAGGGGACCAGGAAGGTGAGAAGGATCAACTAGAAAGAGGAGGGGGGCGCTGATGCAGGGGGGAGAGGAGGACAAGGAGAGAGGAGGGGAGAAATGAGAAAAATCAGGAAATTTTGTCCAGTGGGAACTAGAGCAAAAGGAAGGCCAAGGGGAGAGGAAGCAGGCAAAGGCCACCCAGGAAGCATGGGCCTGAGACCAGATGTCCCTTTCCTCTACACTCCTGACCATCCACGGGGAAAAGGGCAAAGTGTAATGGACCCAGATTGATAAGGGCAGGAAGAGCAGCAGGATGGGGGGGGGGGGTTTGGGGCAGAAGAAGTGGGGATCTAGGGCTGCTGTATGGAACACGGTGTCCAGAGCCCAACTTAGGTCCATGTGGGAACCCAGGCCTTGAGGGAAAGACACCCCCTGGGCACTCTCTTCATGGCGTGGCCAAGCCCCTTGGACACGTTCAGCACAGGGGTTCTGATGGAGATTAAAAGGACCCGTGACTTCACCTGCATCTGATGGAAATTCTAACCTCCTTAACCCATCTCCACTTGAGAAAGTAGCTGACTCCCGAGGCTGAGAAAGCCTTCCCCCAGCCCTTTAAGTAGGCAGGGGAGGGAGAAAGACTGAGAGCATGGGCAGCCTATCTAGCTCGCCCACCCGCTGTCACTGCAGCCAGCCACCTCCCTACTAAATCTTGACAGCCCAGGAGGGTCCCAGCAGCTTCCGCCCAACCCTTGGGAGGGGCTCTGTGAGGAGCAGCTCCCCCACAGCACGGCCACGGTGTGGGTTGGAAGAGGATGGTTTATTGTCTGGGTGGTTTGGTGGCTCAGGCATGTGGGCATCTTCTGTGCTACACTGGGCACCTGGTGGCCTCTCAGGAACGGTTCCATGGGGGGTGGGCCCCAGTGTGGCCCCCTCAGCCCACCTGGGCCCACGTGAGGAAGGCCGGGATGTCCCGCACAGGCACATTCCTCGTCAGTGCTTTCACACGCAGGTTTCGGTCATCGGTCAGCAGCACCACCTCCCGCAGTAGCCGGATGGGCTCCTCTGTTGGCACAAGAGAGCAGAGAACCTCTCTGAGGCAGGAGACAGACACTGCCAGCCTCTCCTCTCTCTGGAGGGGAGCATGGTCCTGGGGGAGGGGAGTGCATGAAGACCAGGCATTTCTTGGCCCCTTCCACAAATCCTTTCCCTCAGGCAGATGATCAGCTGAGGACGCCCCTCCCCTGCTGGCTTCGGGAGGGCCATGCGGAGAGGCTGGCCTCCTGCTTTGGACCCCTGCCTCCTGCACAGGACTGTGCTGCCTTGTGTCTTGAGAGCTGCCCAAACCACTGGCCTCTACACAGCCTCTCCCAGCACTCTGAACTGAGGGAGCAGAAGCAGCCCCTTTCTTCCCACTCCTACTGCATGGCTGGTCCTGAACTCAGAACACTTGTCTTCTACACATCCTCTCCCTCCAAGGCCAGCAGGTCTTAATACCCTATTAAGACGTAAAAAACAGTATCCAGGCCTCCCAGATGTGAGGAGAGGGGTTAGCTCAAGGGAGCTCTGAGGGAAGGGCAAAAAGGTCCTTGGCAAAGTCATACGAAGGTGGTCCTGAGGCTACAGTCAAATGATTTCCTCTATTAAATAAAAGTAAGCCATGGTGAAAAGCACAGAAGAGGAAAAACGGAAAGGTAAAGCCAGGCTCATCCTCCCAGTTCTCTCCCTTCCTGTGTCCCTGCCTTGCTCCCGGGTAGACCTCTGTATGCTTCCAGATTTCTTTATACACATTTACAAGTATATATATATTTGTTGTATAAGCTTCCCCCCACAACTTTACAATCATACTAACCATACTTACTTTATTCAATATACATTTTAAAGATCTTTCTATACTGACACAAATAGCCTTCATTCTTGTTAGAGGACTTTTAGCAGGAAGTTGCCCACCACCTCTCTTCCCCTAATTCCCTAACCTTTTAATGTACTGGGGAGAACTTAAACTAGGGCCAAGTACTCACACAGTGACACCCCCACCCCTGGCAAGGCCCCTCAGGTGGCAAGTCCACTCCTCAGTCCCAGGCTGGGTGCTTCCAGACGGAGGGCCGGCAGACAGTGAGGCACAGGGAACATCCTGCGGGGCTTACTGACTGCGGGTACTGGCTGGGCTGGGGGATTGCAAACGTCCATGTCGGACCTGAGCAGTTTCAGGCTTTCCAGCTCCAGGCAGGGAGGCTGAGAACTGGCTGTCAGCCTTGGGAGCAGTTTGGGGGAAGGAGGAGGGAGAGGTACTTGAGGCTGATGGTGGAGAGAGAAGGGGAGAAGTGAAAGGAGGGTGTGATGGGAGGTGAGGGGCTGTGGTGGGCGAGAGGGAGAGGAAGGTGGCCATGGGTAAAGGGGATGCTCTGAGACCACTCAACTGTCTGGGCCTGACCCTCTGGGGTGTGTGAGTGCAGGGTGGGGTGGGGTGGTATCTTGTGCGGTGCTGTGTGGGACTCCAGCTGGCTGCCCCCGAGTCTGTCTGCAGCCCCGCCATTCCTGCCCTGGGACTCAGACCAGGAGAGCCCCAGGGTTTAGGTCAGCCAACCGAGGCCCAGCGTTGCTGGCAGGGGTCTTCAGGGGTTTCTGTGGATACTTTGAGACATTTTTAACAATAAACATCCTCTGTTTTGACACTGGTAACTTCACTTTGTTAGAAACCAGAGGCAGTCATCTTGTCAGGCCCCATCCGCCATAATCCACATGATTTTAAAATTCAACATCGTTTACACATAAACATTTGGTGACAGTTTCTCTGTGAATCTGACAAGTTAATCTGCTAAGAATTCACACTGACAAATAGGGTTTGATTACACCAGCCGTTGCTGATGTAATTCTGATAGGGGTGGACCTCAGGATGGCAGTGGGTTCCTGTAGGCTGTTTAGGGTAAAGTGGGGGTGGGGGGTGGGGAGACTAGTATGGCCCAAGCCAAAATGTGTCTCTGCTAAGAACGAAACAGCTCTGAGTCTGGGTGGGGCCGCAGCAGTATCTGTCCCATACTTCCCAACAAGGCCTTCTGCATGCCTGCCTACCTCGCCCAGAAGGTGCCCCTCTAGGAAGCTGCCTGGGAGCAGAGCTCAGGTTCCCGTTTGACTTAGCCTGGACTCCTTTTTACCCTTGAATGTTCCAAATCTGGTACTAAGGGACAGTAGGTGCAAGCCCTGTGGCAGGACCTGTCTGAAGAAGAGCAGTATGGACTCATTATCAACCCCTGGTACAGAGGCCAAGGCAGGAGTGAAGGCTGCACTAACGTGGGTGGGAGGAGCAGTAGGAAAGAAGTCAGCCCCCAGACCAGCCTGGAAGCCACGGTTAAGAAAATGAGCAGAGGTGGGTGATGACTAAAAGACGATGACAAGAGACTACATATACAAATGGTGAGAATTATCAGCTCTGCAGATGACACTGAGCTATTCCTTCCAAAAGAAATGTCAGATTCCCGGGAGTCAGGAGCAGAAAAACCTGAGTTTCACTGACTCCAAGGGGCTGTACAGGAAGTTCCGGGTTGAGTGAGGAGCTCAAGCTCTCGCCCCCAACTCCAGCCAGCCTGCGAAGCACTGCAGCTTACCGCCATAGGGAGAGAAGAAAAAACCCACTACTCACTGGGGAAGCACCTCCGCCCACGCCTGGCACAGGGCAGACATCAGGGATGAACTAAGAGGATGAGCATGGCCCAGAGCAGGGACCACTGGGGACTGTCCTCGCAGAGCAGAGGGCTGGGCTCAGGAGACTGTGGCCAGAATAAGCTACACTGAATCATAGAGACATTCTTGCTGTCAGAGAACTCACTGAGGACCCAAGAAAGGAAATGGATGCATGCCGAGTGGGAAAGCTCACTGCCTGGGGCTGGCTTCCTGGGCTAGGCCCATCCCTGCTTGGCCCACCTGACATCTCCTAGGGGTGGGGGAGCCATGACAGGAGGGCAGGAAATTAAGCTTGCCTCAGCACTGAACCCCCATTTTTTCAAACTCTCCTACAGCCAAGGATGGCAGGACAAGGTAAAGCCGGGGATGGGTGATCTTGAGGCAGAGGCAAAGCTGTACCTTTGTTGGTGGGCATGAAGTCCTTCGCCTTGTCTTTGCAGTAGTGAAGGCAGCAGGAGAGGATCAGGTCATCGTTGTTACCCTGGAGGAAGACAGCGTGAG